TTCCTGAGGCTTCTTCACGGTGCGCCTCTCGAGCAGAGACAGGCCGAGCTCGTCGACCGCCGGCTCCGACCCGTAGTCCCTGCGGCGGCGAGCAGCGCGATCGGCTCGAAGGTCTGGCTCGAGGCCGCTGGGCGGTGCCAGCGACTGCGCTGCGGGCCGCTTGCGGCACCTCTGGAGGTCGAAGGCCTCGCTGCTGGCAGCCGCGACTGGGACATCAACGGGGCCGAAGTCGACGCCAAAGGCCCGACTGAGCCTGGCTGCAAAGGCGCGGACGCGGCTGTCCCGCTGGCCGCAGGCGTCCCCGCCCAGCGGAGCATGCCTCGGCTTGGGCAGGACAGCAGCTGGAGGGTCGGGCGCGTGCGGCTTGGCCGACGCCTCGGCCCAGTCACCCTGCTTGCGCCTTGAGCCTCGATCCGCAGGATTGTGCTCTGAAGGAAGCCACCGCCAGCGAGAAGTCGTGCCGAAAGCAAGGTTGAGACCACCAATTTGACGACAGACTCGCATCAATCTCGAGGATGAACGACCCTTGGACACGGCAAGGATGCTGGCCATGGCGTCACCCAAGTACAAGTGGCGCTTCCCGAAATTCGCCAGGGCACGCGTCTTGTGGAGGTGAGCTAGAACCATGCTGCGGCCCTCGAGGGTCAGCTGGGCCTCCGAGCGGGCCCACCGTCTCACCAAGACACGCCGCCACTCGCCGTCCCATATATTCGAGTCAACGTCGAGCTTATCCTCTGGAACCGCGGGGGCGGGCCCGTCTATGTCGAAGCCTCCTAGAAGAGCGAACGAGAGAGCGTGATCCCGAGGTCGATAACCCAATTCATCTTCACGAGAAAATCTCCACCTCTCATTGAACCGACCGAGCGACTTGACAGTGCCGATGTCCACCTTCTGCTGCACGATACACCCTCCCCAAGACGACGCATCGACAGCGAGAACATCCTCAGACCAAGCAGCCCAAAGATTACGAGAGGCGAGAAAGATGAGCCCAGCGGCCCAGCCCAGTTCACGTCGAACAGAACCCCAGAGACGGCGGCGATGAGGTCCAGCGTCAGCTAGTAACAGGCCGAGAAACGCACAACAACTCGCGGCGGATGAGAGCACGCGTCGTGTAATGAGACATGATAACCGTCAAGGTTTCTCCACTGACATACCCTTCCTTGAGAATCTGTTGCATAGCCAACCTGATCTTCCAGACAATGCGAGGACTCAGACCAACTGTAGCGTTTTCGTCGGAAACGGTCCAACCTAAAGCCGTCACGCCGGGACCCGCCTCCACTGGATGCGTAGGAAGATTTACCCCGCTCAACTCCTGCTGAACCTCCTCTGTCACGCCCTTGACTACCCCCGATCCTTCCCGAAAGCGAAAAAGTTGCCAACATACTCGGCGTGCGCGAAGGGCTCCAGACACGGAGGGGGGAGACGATCAACAACGGCATTGCTTTCAGACACGCCTCGAACCCTTCTGGCTCGATGCTCAAGTACTTGCTGACAGGCCCAGAGAGAGAGCTTCCAGCCCATCGGAATCACCTGCAGGACTGGGAAAAGGTACTGGCCCCGTCTGACAGCGCGGCCTTGGGCCGACGAGACATTCACCAGGTCGGCACGAACCCTCGGGTGGACGAACATATCACGAAGAGCTTCGGGTAACTGCACGTTGTAAAAAGCGTTTACGATATCGACCGAGCCGACCTGGATAGGAGCCGCACTGTCAACCTCTATGGCCGAAAAGGCAGCCCCAGACGCCAGCGCCACTGGGTCGCTATCCCGAAAATGGCACGATGGTAGCCTACCACCATCTATCAAGCGATACTTCCCTGACTTCTTATTAACGAAGAACAGGCCACAAGAGACCTCGCCCGACAAGCGCCACTCGATCAGGTCGCAGCCAACCATCCTACGCAGCAGCTCCGCGTAGAGGGCGGGCGACCGCTTAAGAGCAGGATCCGAGTGAGGTCGAGCAGGCCCCTCGAGTCTAGCTATCTCCCCACCAGTGGATTCTGGTAAGCGCAATTGAATTAGCCGCTCAGCAATCTCTTTGCCCCGATTATTAGTTAGATGCTCAAGAGACCGCGAAACAGATCCAGCCGCTGGCAGGTCGACCAGGTGGACGGAGTCCATGCTGAGGGGAGCGATCGCGGCGCCTTCGCCGTGAGCACTCCTCGCCCGAAGCGCTCGAAGGGCTCCTGGGCCGTTCAGATCGTCCGGCGGCGGCCCCACCGAGATGACCGACTGGCGAATAATGTTGAGACTGGCCTGCTGGCTGGCGGTGGGGCCATGGGTCTTCCGCGGACAAGATGAACCAATCTACAAATCGTTCAGAGCGCCGGCGACTTCGTCGCGCACCTCATCAACATGGTTGGTACGCAGCAGCCGACGCCGAGTAGACCTGCCAAGGTGCACAGCAGTTCCTCTGAAACCCCGATGCAAAACTGAAGTGGGCCGAGGGAGAGGCAGCAAGTTACGCTGCCGCTCCTCCGCCCAAAAAGGATGGCTGTGAACAGACTGCCTCCCAGGTGCAAGTCCAGGAGGCCCTCCCTGAAAGGCGTGATCGCGACAGGGCTGGTCGGGGGGTCGGTCCAGCCCTGGTGGGGCAAGCATCACCCCTGCTCCTGATTCCCCTTCTTCCCCTGCTTCGCGAGCTCCGCCCTCTCCTCGCGGGCCTTGCGGACCTGCTTAAGGATCGCAGCGTCGCGCTCGACCTCGCCAGCCACGTGGGCGATGAGGTCTGGGCAGACCATCGCCATGCCCGAATCCTTGGTCATTCCCGAGAAGATGGCGGCCTCATCGAACACAGCGTGCTGCAATGATGATGAGCCCCCTTTGTTCTTGCCCTTCGGCCCAGAACCGCGCGAGGCCAAGAAGTCCATGTGGTAGACGTACTCAACCAGCTGCGCCTTCCTGAGAAGGAGCTCGATCGTGGCACTGTTGCTGACGTCAATCACATCGTTGCAGAAGCCCTCATCCAGGCAGCGCATGGCAGCGTGGTGGACCTCAACGCCCCAGCCATCGGTCCGCAGGCCGAAGGTCATGATGAGCGAGCGGTGATGCTCGAGAGGTCCTCCTTGCCGGCGAAAGAGCCAGCTGCAGCACCACTTGACCGTCCTGGGCCCAGGCACGGGCCAGTCTGGAAAGGGTGACTCCCGAAGCTGAACGTCCGACCCGACGAAGCGACGCCACGATCGTGGCCTTGCTGACCCGCAAATCGTGATGGCTCCCCATGATGATGTACTCCTCCACGGGGTGAGCCTGCAACTCGCGGACCAACACGGCTGTGCCCGAAGGCGTGGTGAAGATGCCGACCTCACCCTGCGCGTGATCAGTCGCAGCCAAGGTAACAGGTGACCTTCGAGGGCCGCACGTGGTCGACTCTACCGTCACTTACTGAGCCCCAGCGGCGCCCGCGGCCTCGCCGCCCGCGAGAGGAGCAGCGGGAGCCAGGGCACCTGCTGCCGGCACCAGGCCGCCCTCAGGCATCACCGCGGGCGGCTGCGCCAGAGGGATGAAGGCGTTATCGGGCGGAGCCACCGCCGGCAAGCCCGCCGCCGCCGCCTGCTGGATGCACAGGTCATCTGCCGCCTGACGGGCCTGGCCCATGAACACCGCGAGCTCGGCTGCAGTGGGCGGGCGCCGAAACCTGTAGATCTGAAGCGAAACGTACCGCCTGGTAGTCCTGGCTCGTCCCGTCGAGTTGCTCGAAGTACACGTTAGCATCGGGCGTCACGCACACCACTAGCAGATCATTGACTGGAGTCACTCCCTGCGGCCGCAAGTGGCCCAAGACTCGCCGTTGCTGCCAGCCTCGATCCCCGCTGTGCAGGATCCAAGCCCAGGGCTGGACGGTTCCTGACGCCATGGCGGCGGGAGGTTGCCAGAGAAATTGATCCACAGCAGCCAGCCGCCGCGACGAGCCCTGTAATCGTGAGCGAAGAGAGAAGGCCTAGCACCACGTCCCAGAAGCGGCTCGAGGGCGGCGTCACGTCGGGTGCCGGGCAGACTGGAGGCTCAGGGCAGGCCGCCTGCGTTGGCGCCGGGGACCCAGGGCACGCGGGACAGCTCGGCACCGAAGGGCAAGTCAGCTGGCACGTGTATGGCGGGCACTCGGGACAGGCAGGAGCTGAGGGGCAGCGACTGAGGTATGAAATGACGCCCGCTCCCAGCCAATCGGTCACCCGGTTCAGCATTGAACCGGGCTCTCGCTTGAGCCAACAAGGTCACGGATACAACACTCCGACGTGATGCGAGCCAGCGACCTTCACGGCGGCCCAACCCCGAGACAGAAGCTAACAAAGACGTGTTGAACACTAGGCATGTTCGGCTATGTCATGTGCTGTCATGCTCTGGTATGGTTGTCTTGTTATGTTATGTTGTGTCATGCTGTGATCTGTCGTTTTAATCGTCGCTATGGTATGGTGTCCTGGTACGATATGTCCTGTGATGCTGAGTCATGATATGATTTGTTATGTCAATATGTGCTGCGCTATGATCGTGCTATGATATTGACAGCTCGGCTCTGTTATGTTATGTTACGTTATGCAGTCTTCTGTTATGCAATGTTATGTTATGATATGTTATGTGATGTTATGATATGCTCTGTGTTGTCCTGGCATTGCTATGTTATGTTCTGCAATGGTCTGTCATGCTCGTGTTAGGTTCTGCCATATGTTGTTGTGCCATGTTGTGGTTTGTCGTGCTGATCGTTGCTATGCTCTGGTGTCGTGTCATGATAGGTTCTATGGTGCTGTGTCATGATGCCAACCTGTCGGGTGAGAATTAATGATGATACGAATAAAAAAGCAATGCTAACCGTAATACTAGTGAAACGCATACTACGACTAACAATGAGCATACAAATACTAGTATTCTTACAAATGCGAATAATAATTCGCAGACGAATACTGCGAACACCAACAAACATAGCACCTACCATAAGACAAATAACACTAATAATACTACGAAACATCACAAGGATAAGGACAAGAAGAAGAATACTGGGCGGCGATGTCCTCCAGCTTGTCCTTCAGCAGCTTCTCGGTGTAGATGCCGCCCAGCGCCGAGAGCAAGCAAGAAAACATGCACAGCAGGAAACCAAAATAGGCGGACGTTTCCGCTGCCGAGGCCCTGGAATTCGGGCGCAAGGAGGAGGAGGCGGAGGAGGAGGAGGGGGATGAAGAGGAAGAGTATGAGGAAAAAGAGGATCAGTATCATTACCGTCCATCATCATCAGCCTCATCAGCCTCATCAGCATCATCAGCATCAGCATCATCAGCATCAGCATCAGCATCAGCATCATCATCATCATCAGCGTCAGCATCAGCATCAGCATCAGCACCATCATCATCATCATCATCATCATCATCATCATCATCATCACCATCACCATCACCATCGCCATCACCATCACCATCACCATTATCATCATCAACATCATCAACATTATCATCAACATCATCATCATCCTCATCCTCCTCCTTCTCACCATCATCATCATCGTCGTCATCATCATTTTCAGCATCCTTCTCTCCTCCTCGTCATCATCCTCGTCTCCTCATTCTCCTCGTCGCCCCCTGGTCCCCTCAGGGTGACAACCGGCCATGAAGATGGAGTGTCCTGCTTTCGCGTGGTCATTTTTCGGGGAACGACGACATCGGCAAATTGGACCAAATTGGAATGGGAGTGCACACAGTCACGGCGGTACCCTGTAGAGTCCCATGACGCGCAGAAGAGACACCCTGACATGTGTACTTTGCAAACGGTGGGTGGATCGTATGCACATCCACCGCCACCGTTAGTAACTGTCCCAAGGGCTTGGGAATTCAGAGTGGGTGGGGTTCGCTACTTCCTCCATCCCCCTCCTGCTGTTCTTTCCTGCCCCATCCTCCTCCTCCTCCTCCTCCTCCTCCTCCTCTTCCTCCTCCTCCCCTTCCTCTCCATCTTCATCAGCATCGCCACCAACCGAATCATCAGCAGCACCACCACCACCATCAGCGACATCAGCATCAGGGTCGGCGACAACATCAGCGTGAGCTCCGCCACCACGATCATCGTCCTCCTCCTCATCATCATCACCATCATCAGCATCCTCATCATCGTCATCAGCATCATTATCATCACCACCACCACCATAACATCCTCCTCCTTCTTCTCGTCGTCGCCATCGTTATCATCATCAGCATCATCATCAGCATTATCATCATCACAATCGTCATCATCAACATCATCGTCATCATCACCATCACCATCACAATCATCATAATCATCATCGTCATCGTCAGCATCATCATCATAATCATCGTCATCATCACAATCAAGATCATTACCATCAACCGCATCATCATCATCATCATCATCATCATCATCATCATCAGCATCATCATCATCAGCTTCGTAATCAGCATCACCACAATATTCATCAGAATCACCATCATCACCACGATCCCCAGCATCATCAACAACACCATCATCATCGTCATCGGCATCAGCTGCATCAGCATCATTATTAGCATCACCGTCATCATCATCATCATCATCATCACCATCACCACGACCACAAATCCACCTCCTCCTCCTTTTTATCGTCGTCACCGTCGTTATCATGACCATCATCAGCATCATCACCAGGATCATCATCAGCATCAGCATCAGCACCATCATCATCATCACCATCATCATCACCATCATCAGCACTATCATAACCATAATCATCATCAGTATCAGCAGCATCAGCATCATCATCAGTATCAACATCACCATCACCATCAGCAGCATCATCATCATCACCATAACCATCATCAGCATCATCAGCATCACCATCATCAGCATCATCAGCATCATCATCAGCATCATCAGCATTATCATGCATATCATAATCAGCATCAGCAGCATCGGCATCATCACCAGCATAATCATCATCAGCATCGTCATTGTCATCCTCGTCATCAACGTCACTGCAATCATGAGTACCATTATAATCACCAGCATCATGAGCATCATCATATCATCATCATCATCATCATCATCATCATCATCATCATCAGCATCACGAGCATCAATATCGACAGCAGCAACACCAGCAGCATCAACAACATCATCATCATCAGCAGCAGCAGCATCATTATCATTGTCATCATCGTCATCACAATCATCGTCATCATCAACAGCAGCAACATTATCATCATCACTATCAACCTCAATATTGTCATCGTCATCATCACCATCGACATTACTGTCATCATCATTCCACAGTCCCTCCTTTTCCTTCTCCTCCTCCGCCACCGGCTGGGATCAGGATCAGGAATCAGGAGGAGGAGGAGGAGGAGGAGGAGGAGGGAGGAGGAGGGAGTAGGAGGGAGTAGGAGGGAGCGAAGCTGAGGGAGGAGGAGGAGGAGGAGGGAGGAGGAGGAGGAGGAGGAGGAGAACGGGGAGGAGAAGGGGAGGGAGGAGGATGAGGGTGGGGGAGGAGGAGGAGGAGGAGGAGGAGGAGGAGGAGGAGGAGGAGGAGGAGGAGGAGGATGAGCAGGAAGAGGAGGAGGAGGAGAAGGAGGAGGACGAGGAGGAGGAGGAGGACGAGGAGGAGGACGAGGGGACGGGGAGGAGGAGGGGGAGAGGGAGGGGGAGCTGGAGGGGAAGGAGGGGCTTGAGCTTTGGCGGAGGGGGAAGGGCCAGATGAAGAGGAGGAAGAGGAGGAGGAAAACGAGGAGAGAAAGCAGGAGGAGGACGAGAAGGAGGAGGCGTAGAGTAAAGACGGGAAGGAAAAGGCGGAAGGGGAGGCGGAAGACGAGGCAAGCGGACCGTTCCGAATTCGAGCTTCGGATCTGGCTCACGGCCGTGCCGCAGGCAAGCTGCCAGATGGCCAGGTATTGAACCTCCGCGGAAGGGGGGGGGCGCTCTGATCGGAAACTGCCCACGAGGGAAAGAGAGCCCCCCCTGGCTCCTCCTCCTCTTTCTCCTCCTCCGCAGCAGCAGCAGCAGCAACAACATCAGCATCAGCATCAGCATCAGTATCAGCATCAGCATCAGCATCAGCATCAGCATCAGCATCATCATCATCATCATCATCATCATCACCATCAGCAGCAGCATCATCGCCAACAGCATCATCATAACCATCATCAGCATCATCATCAGAAGCATCATCAGCATCAGCATCATCATCGTCACCATCATCGTTACCAGCATCATCATCATCATCATGAGGATCAGCATCAGCAGCATCATCATCATCGTCACCATCATCATCATCATCATCATCATCATCATCATCATCATTATCAACAGCAACATCATCATCATCATCATCATCATCATCATCATCATCATCATCATCATAATCAGCATCACAATCATCAACAGCAGCAGCAGCATCAACCGCATCATCATCAGCAGTCGCAGCATCAGCATTATCGCCACCATCGTCAGCATCATCGTGCACACCATCATCAGCATGAGCAGCATCATCATCATCAGCAACATCATCAGACTCATCATCACCATCATCAGCAGCAGCATAAGCATGGTCAACATCACCATAATCAGCAACCTCATCAGTATCATCAGCAGCAGCATCATCACCACGAACAGCATCATCGTTGGCATAATCATCAGCATCAGTAGCATCATCTGCGGTACGTTCAGTCATCATCACCACCATCAACATGACCATTATCAGCATGATCATCACACTCATCATCAACATCCTCATCATCAGCGAAATCAGCACCAGCATCACAATCATGATCATCGCCATCATCATCATCATCATCATCAGCATCAGCATCATCATCAGCATCATCCGGATCATCAGCATCATCAGCATCGTCATCCTCATCCTCATCATCAGCATCATCATCATCATCCTCACCATCACCTTCAACAGTTTGAATAACACAATAATAATAACAACACAACCAACAACAACAACCTCAGAAACAACAACAGCAACCACAACAACCACACCAACACCAACACCAACACCAACACCAACACCAACATCATCCTCTCTCCTCTTCTCTTCTCCGCCCTCCTCCTCCTCCTCCTCCTCCTCCCTCCTCCTTTCTCACCCTCCCTCCCAATTCTCATCCACCCTCCTTCCCCATATTCAACTCATCCCCACAGAAGGCCCCAGTGGCAGGGCCCGCTTGACGGCCCCGCCCCACTTCGGCACCCCACTCACACGCTTCGTAGCCTCGCAGGGAGCTCCACCAAAGAAGGCCCCCGGGGCAGGGCCCCGCATGGTGGCCCCGACCCCCTTCGGCACCCCTCGCGCGCTGGGGCAGCGGCAGGGTTCGAATGGCGCCTCCTCACTGCCCCAGGGTCCATCCCTCTTGCGGCACCCTACCCATCAGGAGGGGGCCATACCCTGCGTTGTTCGATGCTTCGTAGGGTTGGGTTCGTAGCCAAGCTACGTTTCAGATTGCGGCGAATTGGATACGAGACATTTTTCATTGTGTTAGGTTCTGCGTTTGCGCCTCGAGGCTCGCGCTCGCCGTTTGGATGCTGCGTTGCAGTACAAGCCCCACGGCCGACTACATTTCATAGAGAGCACGGGGACTCATGCTGCACGAGGGACGATGCTCCAGGACACGGTCCAACAGCAGTGCTGGAGGTCCTGCATACCTCCCGCATTTGTTCTCTGTCTCTCTCTCTCTCTCTCTGCCTCACACACAACTCTGGAGCGGCCAAGAGGGGGGTGTCCAAAAGGGGGGGTGCAAATCGTGGCCGGCGGCATGTGCGCGGCCCAGCGGGGGGGCCAGGGACGTAACGAAATAAGTAGAGGCGCCATGGAATCTGGGGAAATGTCATGGCCCTCGCCATGATGTCCCCCCCCCCTAGTCATCCCCCCCCTCTTTGCCGCCCCCGAATACAAGACCTCCAACATCCGGCCACGCCCGTCCGGGGCACGTGCCTCCAGGCCGCGGCGCGGCAGCGGTGCTGGTGGCCCTGCCAGCCAACACGAGACCGAGTGGTCCCGTCTTGCCACTCCGGTGGACGAGATTCGATCTCCTCCGCACACTGGGGCTTTGTCGAATCATTGCTCATGCAGGGACCAGCCACCCTCAAACGCTGCATACTGCGCCAGTCTGCTCCTCCTCTTCCTCCTCCTCCTCCTCTTGCTCTTCGTCCGATCTCTCTCTCTCTCTATATCTACGTATAAATATATGCATGTATGTATGTTTGTATGTATGTATGTATGCATGCATGTATGTATGTATGTATGTATGTCTATCATATATATATGTATATATATATCCACCTCCTCGTCTCCCCCTTCTCCTCATCCTCCCCCCTCCTCCACCCCGTCCCTTCTCCTCCCACCAGCCCTCCCCCGCTACAGAATGAACCATCCTCTCCCCCCCACATCCTCCCCCCTCCACCTCCCCCCCGCGCTCTTTCTCCCCTCCCCTTTTCCCTCCCGACAGTCCAGTTTTTGTTTTGTCCCTCTGTCCCATTCTTTTCTTTTTGCACGCAGCCGCGACCTTGGTCAGCTTCCGGTGAAGGACGAACCGGAAGAGCAGTCCTGGATAAGCCAGTGCCCAGTCCCCCCTTTAACCTTCGAGACGAGGAAGAAGGAAGGGGAGGAGCAGGAGGAAGGAGGAAGGGGGAGGGAAAACGAAAATGAGGAGGCGGAGGGCGGGACAGAGGTGGGGACTGGAAGTGTGGGATATGGGGGGCGGGAAAGAGAGAGGGGAGGAAGAAGGGAGGTCGGGGGGGGAAACAAATGGAGATGGGGGCGAAGGAAACGGAAAGGGGGAGGGGTGGCGGTGGTGAACGGTAGCACTGCACCCAATGCATGCTCGCATCTCTACTCAAACGCGGCAAGGAAAAGCCGGAGGAACGCCTCGCAGGGCCCAAGAAACACACACGACGCTCACATCTTATCACGTTTTGGATTCGAAAAAAACCTGCCCACGGCGCTCTGCGCCTATGTCCCTGCTCTCTGGCTGCAAGTCGGCTGGCTTGTAGTATTGTAAGAGGATGCTCCTCAAAGAAATCAATAGAAATCAGCGGAAGGGGGGGGCGGAGAGGGGGGGGGGGGGAGGAGGGCAAGAAATACCCTCGGTTTCCTGGGGCTCTCACGGCCCGATACGGGCGGCGGCTGCCTTAACCCCCACCTCGGCGCCCACAGCGCCGCCTGGCTCGGGCGCGGGCGGGGGGGAGCTGGGCGCGGGGCGGTCGAAGGGGGCAGCAGGGCGTCAGCGGCGGAGGAAGCGGATGGATGGGAGAGCGGAGCGCTTTGCGCACCTGCTCACCCCAAGATCTCCTCGAACTCGTTGTTTGCAACAACTCTTCCCTGCACAATCCGGTGTCGTGCAGAATTCGCCGTCACATGCACGCATGCAGATCTCGCATGGCTGATCCGATGTCCTCCTCATCTATCAGAGCCTCTCCCTCGTCCGCGCGTGCTGTCGTGATCGATCGGTGATTCGGCGAGCGATGGTGGCGCGCGCCCAGTCTGTGTCGGCTTTTTCCTGGATGTTTTGAAACCTCCCTCCTCGTCGCCGTCGTCGTGGTCGGCGTCGCCGTCGTCATCATCATCGTCGTCGTCGGCGTTGTCGTCGTCGCCGCCGTCGTCTTTGTCGTCCGCGTCGCCGTCGTCGCCAGGAGAGACGTCCTGGGAGGCGGGCGCCTTCCTGAACTCACAACTGGTAAGAGCACGGCACAGGCCTGGCATCCTGGTGGCAGCCATTCGCGCGGGGGGGCCCGCCCGCATCCTCCCGGGGGCACACATCTTGGAAACAGCACTGGTCAACGTCGGCGGCACCAGAAATTAAGCGAGGAAGCGAGCGCACGGAGAGATGGCCACATGAGAGAAGTGGGCACTTGACTCCGTCACCAGGCTGGCCGCGGGCGTTCCCACCTTGTTGTGCCTACCGCCGGATGACCCCCGAGAGCCGCGCCATGGATTATCATAGTAGGCCACCTGTTTCCAGCTGTTCTCGCTGTCTTTCGCCGGCCCATGGGCCCCCCTGGACATGCTCGCTGGCGCCCGGTGGGGGGGGGGGGGGGGGGGGCGGGGCGGCGCCCGCCCATCTGGCCGCGCCCTTGGCAGCGCATCGCAGCGCCCCCCCATTGTCCAGACACGTTTGTGACTGATAGGGGCCTCGCAAGCCGCGATGTTCGGCCGCCCCTTTAGGTGGCGGATGGCAACGTCGACTGGCAGAACTACAAGCTGGCATGCCGGCGCAAAAATCACGCCTGACATGAGGGACCGAACGCCACATGTCCTCCGTCTGCCTTGAGAGAAAAGTTGGGCACGCACATCTCTCGTCTCTTGATTCGCGTCGGCGCGGCGCACGCAGCCTGGCCAGCATCGCCCTGTGGTCGATCCACGTAGAACCTGTCGCGCTTGCCGCGCCGGGCCTCTCGCGTGGAAGCCCTAGGGGGCGTTCGGGGCGCTGGGCGGACAGACTGCCCGGCGCGCGTCGTCATCCAATTCGCACGTCGCGTCCTGGAGGACCTCCCGAGCTTCTTGCCCCGCGCGATGAGTTTGAGCCCGCGAGGAATCCCGCGCGAGCCCTTCCGGGGGAAAATGCGCCCTCCCAGCCCAGCTCGTCTCCGCGCAAGCCGCGGCGCAGCACCGCCCCGCGCCCGCCCTCGCGCAAACTCGCGCGGCGCGCCCGCGCCGCGCAAGACATAGCGGGCAGCGCCTGGCCAAATCGCAGGACATATAGAATCGCGCCTACCTCCAATGTGAAAACTCCTTCGCGCGCGCAACAAGTGCCCGTGGGCCCCGCGGTCGGCTCTGTCGGACCTGTTGGGAATGACTCTGCACCGCGCGTTGTCGCGCGGATTCGTACCTGGGCAACGTGGGCGCGCGCCATGGCCAGGCCCGCCTACTCTGCGCATCTGCCTGCCCGTGTTTTCGGAGTGGATGTTCTGGGTGGGCGATGGGTAGCGGGCCCCCATCCAGCGCGCGCCAACGCAGCGTCCTTTTTCAGCCTGAACAGCCGTTGAAAATCACCGCGTCGAGGCCGCGCGCCACGCGGTGCGCCTCGCAGGAATTGGCGCCATGACCTTGCGGATCTCTGAACCATGCCTATCAACTACATGGACAGCATGCCGGGTCTGCGCAGTCGCGCATCACCGCATATTTTGATTGTCGACAAGGCAAATCGCGCCACGCGTCGGCCAGCCGCAAATGCAAACGCGCGCGGTACGCCATGGGTCCCATCGCTTCTGGGCGTCCGAGCCAGTGCATGATCCGTCCGAACAGCCTGAGCTGGTGACAACGTAGCTGCGTGGTAGATCCGCCCTGGCAGCCTTAGCTGGTCCCGCGGTGGCCTTCGTAGCATGATGGCCATACCTGGGCGAACCTTTTGCCGCTCGGCATCTGCCCAAGATGCCGGCCGAACAGAAAAAAACGAGAATGTGCTTCCGTTGCGCCATGCCAGATGCCAGCGTTGTGCGATTGTAGTGTCGTCGCCAGCAAGTTCAGAACGTGCAATGTCGATGCGTCGGAGATTGGGATCTTGGCGCATTGAGCGAACAACTCTTCTGCGCAGGGAGTGCTCAGCACCTGCGCATGCTCTGAGGCGGCGCGCGATCTCTCTGGCCCCGCGGGAACTTTTTCGCCCAAGATGGCCCCGAGATGCGGGCGCTGCCTCGCAATCCGGATGCCCCGGGGGCCCGGAGCCTCGGGGGCGACCCGCGTGACTCCGCCCATATTCTTCCTTTTCTGCGCTCGGGCCAGCTCGGCGCCTGCCCCGCTAAACTGGAGGAGGCGCTCAGATCCCCCACATTCTCCCTGCTGAAACTCATTCGAAGACCCCGCCCGTTAAACGCGTCGACCACGATGCGACTTGCATCTGCCGAGATATCGACAAGCTCAAGCGCCCCGCCGACGCGTGAAAGAAGAGCCTCATCGTCTCGAAGAAACTGATGTTATTTGTCGGCGCAGCGCTGGAACCACGCACCCACCAAAGGCCGACGCGCCCTGGCGCCCATGGATGTCGCTGGACGTCTCCTCTTCCAGCGGGTATCCCTTAATCGCGGAACTCGCAAATACACTTGACACGCACTGCGCCATCGCGCAGTTGCAGGCTACATCTCGGAGCTGCCAACCTGGGGCCGACCCCTGAGCTGGCGAGGAGAGGTTGCTGCGAGCGGGGGCGGAAACGCACGTCTCACGCGAAAGTCCGAACAGTCGTAAAGCTCAGAATTTCTCGGCGCCGCCCTGTCTGGCGCCCGCGCGAGAAGTCGGCTCCGCGCGCGGCAACTCCTCTGATTCCTTCGCCGATGGGGCCCCATGATAGCGGCGGCTGCGCATCCATCCTCTGGCTGCGAAACTTGACCTCCTGCAATTGGACGCGGGGGTCCTGGCGTCGAAGAACGCGGGGCCCCACCGCGCAAAGTGGCCGCGGAAACGCGCCATCCGCGTCGGCCTCGCCGTTGAGCTCAATGGGGCTCGAAGCCGACGCCGATGCCATTCGAGCTGTTTGGCCTCGTGAACGCTGCGGCGCCCTTGCCCGCGACGCGCCTGCCCTTGCCTCCGCGCGCGCGCCCTCGTCGGCCGACTCGCGCAAGGCCGGCTTGACTGCTGAACCTGGGCCGCGAAGAGCGCCCTCCGGCGGGCGCGCGTCCGCTGCTGCACGTGGCAACAGCAAATCTGGCGGAATTGGATGCTCTGCTGGAACTTCGCCCCCTGGTGGCGAGATCGCTCTGGGACGCCTGCTGTCGGCGCTGCTGTCACTTCTCCAACTGGCTGCCTTGGGCGCGCGCCCAGCTGCGACAAGCCCGCCTGGATGACTGCACCTGTTGCTGCAACGTGACCATGTGTTGTTGCATCTGCTTTATGTTGGCCTGGATCGCGGCTAAGTATGTTGGGCCGCCTCCTCCTGCGCTGTCACTGCCTGGCGTCGCCAGCTGTCACCTGCTGCTGCGTGCGCTCGGACTAGGCGCGCCATGCCGTCCTTGGCGGCGCGCTGGTCATCCTCTACGTCGCTCATGTCTCCGTCCGAATCGTCGATATTATCTGCTTTGGTCTTTGCCTGTGTAAAAAGCTGTTCAAAATTGATCAACAATAGCTCCGCTCTTGCTCAATCCTCCATGCTGTGTTTCTGTTGCAACTGACATTGTTCAAGATAGTCTTGTGCCTCCGATTCGACGTTCTCGGCCTTCTCCGACCTCCTCCTGACACGATCCACGTATTGCGCCTGGTGTGCAGTTCTTTTTCTGGCACTCACGCATACAACACCAGATAGAAGGCCACTGCGAAATCTTGTTCCAACTCCTGGATACGCGACGTGTGTCCTATGTTGTATGCTACTCAGACATGTTTCCTGATGGCGTCTAGCTGCTCCTTCAGTTTGTGCCGGTGCGCTGCAAAGTCTGTTGCTTTGGACGGCATTGGGATCCACAGTCTGTATGACTGTGCAATTTCTGGCAACGCCGGGCCGATTGTCGGTCTGAGCGACTGGTACTGGTCCTGCTGAGCGGGTCCACCTGGTGCTGTGGTTTTGGTCCCATCCTGCTGTTGCTGCTGATGCTGCTACTGCTGCTTCTGCTCCAAGTTGGAACTGGACTTGTACCACTCGACTGATGCATGCCACCATTGATTCTGCCTTGCGCGCCACCGCGGACGAGATGCTGGACGGTTGGGACGATTGTGCCTCCTTGGCGCTGTCCCCTGCTGTCTCATACGATGCCTGCGTACGATTTTGTTTCAACGCTGCGGGGCAATATCGGCATCATGTGTTGAATGCTGCAATATTGGACTTGCTGCAACTCTGACATTCCCAATATCTGGCACCGCCTGGTTTGAGTCCGCCTGCTGTGCTTTGTCTTTGACGCGACATATCTGGTTGCGCACTGTCATGCTGAGGTATCCGTGCCACTGCCGCTATGTTGCTCCCATCGTACTTGAAGACCACATCCCGGAAATAATTTCGAGCACCCAGAAAAGTGTCGAAACAGTGTCGAACGAGTATCGCCTCCCAGGGCCCGACACGTGAAAACCTTGAAAGTTCGGTATTTTCTTGGTGCTCGAAATTCCTTCTGGTGGTCAAAGCTCAACTAGGTTGGAACATCGTGACACTGCCGATGAAGTTCTCAATCACAATCAGCCGTTCGCTCGGCGCGCTCGCTCTTTGCAGTGCCACGCCGGTTCTATCGTGGCCGCCATCGTCTGCTTCGAGCAGAGTCTGCACGGAATGTAAAAATGAATGTATGCGGGGGCAACACACTGGATGCCTGTGGCCGGCAGGCGCGCAACCCATGAGATTGCACCGAATCGCCTGAGCCAGCTATGGCCTTGAGGAAGAGGGGAGGCGGGATAACAGGGAGCAGGGAGGATGGGGAAAGCGGATTGGGAATCGTAGTTGGACTCCCCGCGTCCTGTGAAGACGATTTTCATCTGACCCACGAGCTGGAACGTCGCTGGATCTAGGCGCTCCTGAATCAAGAAAACGAGGTTGTTGTTCACGAAATCCGCGACCGCGCTTGGCAGCGCACATCACCCAGACGCCGGGCCCTTCTCTCTCTCTCTCTCATTACTATGAACGATGGCAGGGCCCCCCGAGCAATTCCCGAGAGGCGCCCCAAACCACGCCGCCCAAGACGTCTCCAATGTGGACGAGCTACGAGCGTGCCTGGACCACTCCAAGACGACCACAAGACCCCTTGAGGCGGCAAGACACCCCGACGCCACCAATACAACCGAAGATAAGCCGCTTACGTTGACCAGGTCACCATGACGTCCGTTGAGAACTGGACAAGGCTACCGAGAAGTTCTCCGACAGGCCCCTTCGAGGCCAAGGGCGCTGAAAGCACGGCGGTGCCATTCTCCCGTTTGGCGTGGAAGCCTGGCCTTGAGAGCCAACGCTGACCTCCAGCGACACTCGAGACGACCGGCCATCCAGGCCGCCTCCCCGATGCTCCGAGACGCCAAGACAGCCCAAGACAGCCACAAGACAGCTCCAAAACAGCCCAAGACCCGCCCACGGACAGGACCCCGAGCCACTCGCAGGCGGCTCGAAGGACCCCCCAAGATGGCGCCAGAAGGTCTTGCCTCGACAGCATTGTGGGTCCAGAGTGGCCGCCCCCGCATGGCACTCAAACGATCTCAGGGCTGCCCTGAACAGCTTCGCACCAGTCCAACAAGCCTCGACGGGGGCCCCAAGATAGCTCCGGGACGACCCAATACCACCGCAACGTAACCTCAACACTGCCCCAAGCCGCCCCCGGGGACGTCTCCAAGGCAGCCCCAGATCGCCCGAACGTAACCCCCAGGCTCCTCAAGACCGCCCCGCGGCGAGGCGGCCCAGGAGCAGCCCAAGACGTCCTCAATGTATCTCCACAGTAGGGGAACAAAAAGTGGCATAAACATAAAAACTCAGAGGTCCGCGCGGATTTCTCGGATCGGCGCTGGGGCCCCCGGCGGCGCCTCTGGCGCCGCCCCTGGCGCGCTCCGCGCGCCAGGGAGGGGGGTCCAGCGCCGATCCGAGAAAACCGCGCGGACCTCCGAGTTTTTATGTTTATGCCACTTTTTGTTCCCCTACACAGACGCCTCGAAGGCTCTTCCAGACAGCCCCCGACGCTCGCACGACGGCCCAAAGACTCCCACGGGCCTCCCGCAGGCCCCGAAGCGCCCACCCCGACGCCTCCCCGCTGTCGCGGCGGCCACGTGCCCCCCAGGCGTCCCCGCGAGGCGCCACGCGTGTGCAGAGCACGAGCGTCGCCCTGCCAACCACGCGGGCGCGCAGCGGAGCAGCAGCAGGGGCACGGCAGCGCAGGTCCTCGGCACTGCCGCGCCGCCTCCCCCAGCGCAGTGGCCTCCTCCTCCTCCTCCTCCTCCTCCTCCTCCTCCCTCCTCCTCCTCCTCCTCCTCCTCCACCTCCTCATCAGCATCATCATCATCAGCATCAGCATCAGCATCAGCATCAGCATCATCATCATCATCATCATCATCATCATCATCATCATCATCATCATCATCATCATCATCATCATCATCATCAGCATCAGCATCAGCATCAGCATCATCATCATCATCATCATCATCATCATCATCATCCTCATCCTCATCCTCATCCTCATCCTCATCCTCATCCTCATCCTCATCCTCATCCTTATCCTCATCCTCATCCTCATCATCATCATCATCATCATCATCATCACCATCACCATCACCACCATCACCATCACCATGACCATCACCATCACCATGACCATCACCATCATCAACATCAGCAAAATCAGCATCATCATCATCATCATCATCGCCATAACCATCACCACCACCACCATCATAATCATCATGATCATTATCATCATCATCACCATCATCATCATCACCATCATCCTCATCATCGGCATTATCATCGACAACAAATCCTCATCATCATCATCATCATCGTCGTCGTCGCCACCATCATCATCGGCATCATCGTCATCATCGCCATCATCGTCCTCGCCTTCACCATCATCATCCGTCCATCCAGCAAGAAATCAGCATATCAATCATCAACCATCCTCGACATCAACATCATAATCCGAATCAGCAGTAACAGCACAATAATCATAATGTTCATCATACGGTGCATTGTCATTACCACTATCACCACAAACGTTGTCATCACCATCATCATCAGCGATAGCATCATCATCACCATCACCATCACCATCACTATCGTCATCGTCATCGTTATCGCAGTCCTCCTCCTCATCCTCCTCATCATGAGCATGATCAACATCATCAACATCAGCAGCATCATCACAATCATCGTCATCATCGTCATGATCATCATCAGCAGCATCATCACCATCAGCATCATCATCGGTTGTGCGCGGCAGCGCAGCGCGATACACGGCACCTGGCACCGCATATCTCCGCATGTACAACCAGTTGATCTCGACCTCGGATATGCCCACCGTCGACAGCAGCATCACCAGGGACACGAGCGCCTTGGCGAACTCCGAGAGCAATGTCGCGCTGTAGGTGCTGTACATCGTCTTGCCGTCTTCCTTCCGATGGGATCGGCGAGGAGGCGGGGGGAGGATTGAAGGAGGGACGAACAGACAGGGAGCGGCAGCAGGAGCAGGAGCACGGGGCAGGAAGAGGAGGGAAGACGCGGAACTGAACCAGAGCTAGCCCAGGAGACATCACCGATCATGCAACACACGCCCCCCCCCCTCCTCTTCCTCCTCCTCCTCCTCCTCCTCCTCTGGGGTCCACGTTTCATGGATTCGCGACTGTGGCAAGAGATATTCACTGGCTCCTTCGAGCTCACAAGGCTCCGGATTTGTCCAGGGCTAGCTGGGGGATTGTGATAGTCGACGGCGATGGCTTAGAACGTGCTCGTTGTAGTGGGCCCATTTGGCCCCCCATATCCGCAGACCGCCCGAGCTGGAGAGTTTGGTGCGCAGGCTGGTGCTCAAATGCGCGCTCTGGAATCCTCGTCTGTCTCTTCGGACTGTAAGGAAGTGGCTGTGCAAGCCATCGAACCCTTGGTTGAGGCCTTGAGCTGCAAGAGGCCGTATGCTGGCTTCCTCCCACAGACTCATCGGAACGTTGTGGATGGATTGTGAGGTCCGAGCGCATGTTGCGAACTCTCCTGACCGCAGCGATTCGGCTGCACGTAAGAGTGACCCTGGGCAAGAGTGACCTTTGGTGCGCGGCTTTTTGGGGGGCGCGAGGAGGCCAAACATAAGCGCGCAAGACGCTACTATCGCACCGAGCACGGCGACCGGGGGACCCCAGTGAGCGCGCACCAAAGGTCACTCCGGCGAAGGGTCACTCTTACGTCTAGTCGAGCGATGGGGATCGACTCGCGAAAATGGGAAATAATCTCGCACGTGGTAGGCTGCGTCAGCTCGACACCCACGGCCCTCTGAGGAGAGCGTCGAGCGGCTCCATCGGGCCACGGAGAGTTCTGCCTGCTGTCGACGCTGTCTTTTCGGCTGATGCCCAGCTGGCCCAGACTGAATCTGACAAAGGTCTCTCTGGACACAATTCGCCTGGGCACAGTTAGGCCTCTGTGAAGGGGCCCTGGGACACACAAATTAATACACACAAATAAAACGATTCCCCATATGTTCCTATATTTTCTGGGTTTCTGTCGTCCCCACACTTCCCAGATTCTCCCATATTTTCTGAGGAATCGACGATTCATTGTGTCTGTGTGTTGTTTCCCCTCCTGACTCTGCTGCGAGATCTTGGTTGCGCGAGACCTGTGCGAGAGCTTCCACGCGGCAGCGTGAACGCCCAGGAGGGGGCAACCGCAAGACGACGCTGCCGACGGGCACGTGCGAGCGGCCTCCCAGGATGCTCCCCAATGCCCTCACTGCCCAAAGGTCACCGCAGCATTGCGTTGATCTGCTCGGACGACGCCCTGCTCATCGTGTGCACGAACTGTGAGGCCCGTTCGAACCACGGACACCCTCGCTTGGCGCACTGAAATGGCCCGACAACAAGCGTTCCTGCTCTTAGGGCTGAGGGGTCTCTGGGCTCCTCCCGCTTGAGCCTCTCCTCGTGCCAGCATGTCTCCTTGAGCTTTGTTCGCTGGAGTGGGCATCAGCAGAGTTGGATACTTGTGAAGGGGCCCCAGGACACACAAATAAATACACACAAATAAAAGGATTCCCCATAGTTTCCTATATGTTGTTTTTTTTGTCTTCCCCCCCATTTCCCATATTTTCCAATATTTTCTGGGAAAGCGACGATTAATTGTGTCTGTGTGTTTTTTCCCTTCCTGAATTTGAGGTTCGCCTTCGGTCGCCGACGGCGCTCAAGCAGCCTCCTGACTGTGCCGCACCGACATCGCGGGTGAGCGGTCCCTGCATGCCTTCGCCGGCTTCATGGCCCCCGATGGTCGCCATCGGCCGCCGTCGGCGCTTGAGCAGCCTCCTGTGCCGCACCGCCCGATTTGGCGTGGCCGTCGTAACCTGCGTCGTCTGAATTTCGATTCTGCGACCCGCGATCGGACTCCATCGGCGCGTACAACCGGACCTGAGGCAGAAAAACATCCTTCAAGAACATGAGACCCTCCGCCGGCCAAACCGAAGAATGCTCGAGGGTGCCAACCCCCAAGATGCACAATGACATCCAGCAAACACGAAAAACATCAGGGCACCCTCCCCGAACCGACCTCGATCTTCTACAGTGCGGGCGCGGTCGCAAGAAACCCTCGCAAGCAACCCAACCCTGAAAACTCGCGCGCGAGGTGCACTTGAAGGGAAACCCAGAGCACCCTGAACGCAGCAGCCCCTCTGACGGCCGCGGGAAGTCACCGCGCAGCGCACAGAGCGAAGAAACCAAGGGTACTCCGACGAAAAGCAAATGGCTTCTTGATGCGCGCCCCCTCTGTACCTCTGTCCGACCGTACCTCTGTCCATCGGCGCGCATACAGGCACACGTCCGAGCGGTGCCGACTTGGAGAAACGAAAAGGCACCGATACCGCTGCCCCCCAGACCTCTCCCGCGGTGCGTTCTGACTGGGATTTCGGGGCGAATCCAGCGGCGGCAACGACAAACCCCTCCCCTAGCCGACGGAACATCCAAGCCGACGGAAACGAAGAACCGATCGGCATCCCGCCTCCACACACGAAAAAAAAAATAGTAGGCGCCTGCGCGCCAAGCCGCTGACGCACCGCCCGCGTATGGGTGGAGGTATGGGTACGGTGCGCCATGGAAAGGCAGCGCGCAGCGCGCGGAGCGAAGACAGCCAGGGTATACCCTGACGAAAAACATTCAGTTTCTTGATGCGCGCCCCCACTGTGCCTTTTCCTCCCCTGACGTCCAGCCTGCGCGCCATCCGCTGCACCGCACCGTCCGGCACGGTCTCAAAGCCTGCAGGCTGCACCTGGCAGCCTCCCGCCGCGCCGCCCGCCCAGCCCTCGAGGCTTTCGCGGCCAGCTCCGGGGCTCTGGAGAGCCACGCTGGCGGAACTTCATCGGGCATGCTGGGCCTTATAAGAACGGTCGATGTCGACAAATCCACTTCCTCCTTCCCCTCCTCCTCCTCCTCCTCCTCCTCCTCCTCCTCCTCCTCCTCCACCTCCTCCTCCTCCTTCCTTCCATCCTTCCGTCCTCCCTCCCTGCTCCTCCTCCTCCTCCTCACCCTCCTCCTCCCCCTCCTCCTCCTCCTCCTCCTCCTCCTCCTCCTCCTTCCTCCTCCTCCCCTCCTCCTCCTCCTCTCCTCCTCTCCTCCTCCTCCTCCCTCCCACCTACTCCTCCTCCTCCTCCTCCTCCTCCCTCCTCCTCCCTCCTCCTACCTCTCTTGCCTCTCCTCCCTCCTCCTCCCGCCCTCCGCCTAGAATCCCAGGACCCTTCTTCTTACCCTCCTCCTCCTCCTCCTCCTCCTCCTCCTCCTCCTCCTCCTCCTCCTCCTCCTCCTCCTCCTCCCTCCTCCTCCTCCTCCTCCTCCTCCTCCTCCTCCTCCTCCTCCTCCCTCCTCCTCTCCTCCTCCTCCTCCTCTCCTCCTCCTCCTCCTCCTCCTCCTCCTCCTCCTCCTCCCCCTCCTCCTCCTCCTCCTCCTCGCCCGCTCTTCCATCCCCTCCCCTGCTGCCGCTGACGCTGCGCTGCCCACTGCGTGATGCTGCTGCTCGCTGCTGCCCGCTGCTGCTGCTGCTGCCCTGCTCCCCTACCGCCAGGGCGCTGAGCTGAGGTGGACGCGGAGCTCGTCGGCGCGCTATTGGCGCATAAGGGCGAGGACAGACCTCGCCTGCAGAGTCAGAGCACCCGCGGGGTGTGGTGCTCCTTGCGGGCGAGTGGACTCTTCCCCCCCCCCTCCTCCCCCTCCTCTGTCCCCCCCCCTCCGCCCCCTCCTCTGTCCCTCCCCTCCTCTGTCCTCCCCTCTTCTGTCCTCCCTGGGTCCTCCTCCTCCTCCTACTCTGTCCGCCTCCTCCCCCTCCTCTGGCCCTCCCCCTCCTCTGTCCTCCTCCCCATCCTCTGTCCTCCCCGGGTCCTCCGCCCCCCTCCTCTGTCCCCCGTTCACCCAGGGGCCCCGCTCCTGCGACAGCTTCACGAGCACCGGCTGCAAGGTCATGAGGCACACTGCCGCGAGAGCGAGGCCGCCACGCATGCCGAACTCCTCGCGTGTCGCTGCCGCCGCCGCCGCCGTCGCCAACCTCGCCGTCCGCCGCCATCGTTGTCGTCGTCGTCGTCGTCGTCGTCGTCGTCGTCGTCGTCGTCGCCGTCGCCGTCGCCGTCGCCGTCGCCGTCCGCCGCCATTGTCCGCCGCCATCGTCGTCGTCGTCGTCGTCGTCGTCGTCGTCGTCGTCGTCGTCGTCGTCGTCACCGTCAGTCGTGACTGAGGGATCTCCACTTCTGGCCCCAGAGGCAGGGTTCGCACTGCTCTCCCCGCCAATCGCGGCACACCCCATCACGCGATTCGTGCACACAGGGAACACCACGTAAAGGCCCAGAGACAAGGTTCGTACAACGCACCCACGCCCATGTCGGCACACACGTCAAGACAATCCTGCCCCAGAAGGAGCCTCATCTATGACACCACTGGGCAGCTCATTTCGGAATATGCCTCGCACGGGTCGTGCCCAGAGGGAGCACACCTGCGGTTTCGGTGTGCGCGTTTGCGCGGGGGCATCCGAATTGTTCCGCACACCCTTCACGCGCGCGGATCGTGCCCCGCAAAGAGTTCAGCCCACCCGTGCTCGCGTGCTCCGCAGCAGCCCGCTTTCCGCACTGCCTCGCGTCGCGCAGTGCATGGAGAGAGCCCCACGGCCGGCGCTACACATGACTTCATAGAGATGGGTCCGTCGGCAAGCCACTTGCTTGATATTATTTGTGGCTTTCGGCCTATAGCGCTAACGTGCCCGAGTTTGGGGCCAGGGGACTCTTGGACACCTGTGACCTGGAGTCTGTTGGCTTGCTTCTCGGGCGCTTCGTGGAGCAAATGTTGAAGCTTCTTGGGGGCATCTTGGGGGGCGTTAGGGGCCTTTTGGGGGAGCGCCTCTTGGGGCCCCTTGGGGGCCTCTTGGGGGCCTGCTGGC